TGCTGGCTTTACTGGCTTGGTTTTCGTTCTTAGTCCGCCCCTGCTGACCTCAGGATCTGGAGAATAAACAAACATTCCCAGGGTATAATAGCAGAGGTAAATCTTCTCTAGGTTTATTATTCGGAAGTTTCTGACTTGCTTGAAGCGTTATGTTGCTCAGTAATGAAAGCACACAACACACTAATTCCATTCTGTTTGTTCAGCTTATCTAAAACCCCGTTTGATTAGCTTTTGGTGTGGTTTCAGAACACTGCAGAGGAGGAGTACAGAGGGGTTTTTTTGCATTACCAGTGACCTAAGTCTGACGTGTCACGCAGGCAAAGGTCCAGCGTTTATGATAGTTTTGTTATTTGTATTTCAGCTGGGCACAGAGAAACCTGTCGAGTTGTACCGTTCTCCTGCAGCCAAGTAGGAGAACATGGCCATGTTTTTTTAAAGGGGATGGGAAGCTAGGATGATCTGTGTTTAAAACAGGAAGCTGAAACAAAAAAGCTGAGACATCAGAGTAGGATTTCAGTAAAGTAACAGTAAACTTATTCTAGACTGTAGTCTTTATATCTTTAATAAACCTTTTTTGTTACAAGTTGTTGAATAAAACTTGAATTTTATAGTAAAGCAATTGTATAACATGGTAATAAATATCAATAGGTAAATAAATACCACTAGTATTGTTTACCATCTTGAAACTATAACTTCTTGAAAAAACTGAGCATTCTCACAGCAAGTGTTAAGAACAGCAACCACAAAGAACATCTAGGACTTCTGAATACTCAAATGTGAAATTAAACAATTCTACTTTATCTGCAACTTCAAACAAATTTAGATATAAGGAAGAAGTTCTTCACAGTGAGGGTGGTGAGGCACTGGAATGGGTTGCCCAAAGAACTTGTGAATGTTCCATCCCTGGAAGTGTTCAAGGCCAGGTTGGACAGAGCCTTGGGCAACGTGGTTTAGTGCGAGGTGTCCCTTCCCATGGCAGGGGGATTGGAACTAGGTGATCTTTTGGTCTTTTCCAACCCAAACCATTCTATGATTCACAACTATGAAGCATTGCCTAAGTATTATATCAGTCTTGTTGGCAAGCTGATGCTACTGGTCTCATTGATGAGTTTTTTTTGGTATACAGGTCAAATGATACAGAGAAAAATTTATTTGGATGACTGCAAAGTTATCTTTTTTTCCCCACTTTTCTGAAATACTTGTTTAGAATTGTTTTAAACTTCAAAATTCCATATTAGTTTAGTTTGGAAACTTATTCTATGCTGCTAAACTGTGTAGTCATCTAGTGTGTTTGTTTTGCCCTTTTAAAAGTGAAATTGAGATTCTGATTCACACATCTGTGCTTTAGGTTGTGTAAAATACATGTGCTGAGGTTCATTAGTTACTTCCAGGTGTACTTGGCTGCTAGATACTGCTGTAAATGACTTCTGTTTCCTAAGAATTTCAGAGTAGTACATTTTTATGGGTTACTAGCCTTGAGGGTGTAAAAATCTAGTGGCATCTAAGTACTCTTCTGTAAAGCGGGGCCCAGAGAACACTTTAAGCAGTTCCTTAAATTCCTGGTTTTAATTTCCTAATTTTCTAATGTTTCCTAATTTTTAATATTATCCCTCACATTCACTGCTTTGACTGACGTCTGAATTGATGATAGTGTTTGTGGGTCATAAACTTTTAAAATCCTCCATTTAGCAGTTTTCATGGAGAGATTGTTGCTTCTGCAGCACTTGAGCTGCATCAGTTTTAAATAGCACATAGGAAATTATGAAATATGGTATTTACTTGAAAATTATATTTATTTCAAATAACTGTCGAGCTTGCTTTACAATCAGTCAAGGACATTTCTTTTTAATAAAAGGAAATGTGGTATTTCTATGCATTAGAAGTTGGACATGGGAGAAGTAAATATAGCCTGTTTGAGGAGGGTTGATCATTAAAGGGAGAGTGACCCAGGACACAATTATGTGCTTTTTGAGTTAGATACACTGATATGACAGGTTGTGTCACCTTTGTAAATGAAAGTGAGTCCTGTGTTTGTGCCTTCATGAGGGAGGCAGGGGTGGTGTTTTGTTGTATGGGTTATTTTGTGGGGTTTTTTAGGTTTGGGGTTGGATTTTTTATTTTTTTTTTCCCCTGAAAATTTGGTCACTGTTGTGTGTGATTTGTTGAACTAATTCTTGTTTTGAAACTTCACATTAGAATAGTGAGAAATACACAACTGTCATAATCAGAGACAAAGTCCTGTATGAAAAACAGTTCAGTGACATGAAGTAGTCAAGCAAAGACTTTTCATTTCCCTTATTTTAAAGCTTGAATCTATACTTTTTTATTAGCTTTGTGATCTGACTTGAAGTCTCGGTAAGAGAGAACTAAATTACATTCAAAAAGATTCTCTGGTTTGTGAAAAATAACTCTTGACAGTGTTCTGATAAAAGCAGCTTTTGATATTTATCTAGGAATGAACATTAAAGCAGTGTAAATTAAGACACTTGTTAATAACTCTGGTCTTAATTGACGTCTATTTAACAGATTAAAAGTAGCTTAATAAAAATGAAAACTTTCACTTTCTTTCAGATGCAGCAACAGAACTCCATGTGTCCAATTCTAGACTCAGAGAAATAGAAAGTATTAATGCAGCACAAAAGCTTGAAGTAAGAAATTTTGGAACACTACTGTAATTAAACCCAAAAAATAACATTTGTTTCATGTAAAGTTGAAATATTGCATTGAAGTTGCTTGTCCTTGGGTAACTCTAGAAAACAAAAGTGACAGTGGTGTTAGAATGTGGCTTTCTATTTACTTTTTGGGGGGGAGGGGAGAGAAATCACACTCGGGGGGCACATTTGTTTATTGGTATATGCGTATGGTGCACGTTTTTATCTTTCACTAAGTGCTGCATTCTGCAACTGTTCCTACTTGTCACCTGGGGTTGGACTGCAGAAATAGTTTTGGCTCTGAAAAGCTTGCAAATGCAACAGTCTTTTAAGTTTTCATAAGTTTTAGCTGGTAAAGAGTTAAAATCAGTTTATAGTGCTTCATAGATGGCCACAAATAAAATCAGGCTTCAAAGTACAGCGTGTGTGTGTTACCTGATGCAGTTCACTGCCTTTGTTGCCCTACTGTGTGGTCATTTTGACATATCTGTGGATGCATGTGCATTTCCCAAACCAGTTAAAAATCCCATGTGCCCTTGTGGAAAGTGCCTTAGTGTACTTCTACAAATGGCTTGTTGCTTATTGGTCTTATGACTTTATTTATGGCTGTAAACCAACAACTTTCATGTATGTCCTCAGCCCTCAAGAGCATTGAGAAGTTAAGATAGTGTTTTGGGGAAGTAACTGTTCCTGCTTATCCTTTTTGAGATTCTTGCCATCTGCTCTTGACCAATGTCGGAATACTGGACTGTATGGATATCAGCTCTGATTTGTGCTCTGTGGCTGTTCTTAAATTCTGACCACAGGTCATGCAGAGATGTAATTCAGCCTTGAATTTTTCTTCTTGGCATTTACCTCAGGTCACCAAAAGCCTTTTTCTGAAAAGCCATATAAAAATGGAAAGCTTGGACATGAACATGATTTTAGACTGCACTTGGAAGTTACTGTTGTTGTGTGTTTTGAGTAAAATAACATGAGAAATGTGTATAATTTTATTTCTTTGCTGTCCAGCAGCACTTTTCTAATTCTGTAAGAACTTCCGAATTTACCAACATTAATTTCTCATCTTTGCTAGAATGAGAGACTGAAAAAAGTTTGTAGTGATTTAGAAGAAAAGCATGAAGCAGCAGAACTTCAAATAAAGCAGTTATCTATAGAGTACCGAAATCAGCTTCAACAGAAAGAGGTAGGATACAGAGGGAACTATTTGAGTAAGTATGCCAAATAAACTTATGTGTTATGCTGTTTAATCTCTTTGTTATGGTATTTGTGCTCTTTCAGTGGAAGTATTGGTCACAGTTTCAGTTTTCTGGTTTGTTATTGTAGAAGCTGGGAGTCTTAAGACATATCGTTGACTTATGTAACGTAAGCAGAGCTGCCAGGAGAAAGTTAAGATGAGAACAATCCAGGAATGTCATGCATGTATCAATTTCTGTTCTTTCTGTGAGAAAGAACACTTAAATTGCTTTGTATTTCTGATTCATTTATCTTTAAGGAAGGCAACAAGCAAATTCTCATTTGAAGCAGTTATATTGTCTGTAGATACCATAATTATTTATCTTAATGTATACAATTTCATAATCTGAGAAGTATCCCTTTGTGATGGAAACACCAGCTTTACAGCTTATTGTGTAACATGAGATTTCATAGCCTTTTAAATGAAGACAGTTGCCAGTATGCCTAGAATTACACAAAAGAAGTTTTATTTCTGCTCTATTTGTAAATGCATGTGGGAATCAGAGGAAGTAGAATTTTGGGATGCATAGAATTCTGCTTATTAAATACAATAACAGAGTTGTTACGAGAAAACTGCATGCAGCTAATTTCAGGTTATTGTAAATAAGTAAATTTTCAATACATAAAGTGTAAAAGAAATCAAATGTAATATAAATGGGGGAGCACCATATATTGGTGAATTTTCATATCTGAATACACTCATTAATTTTTATTTTTTTTTTTTTGTGCAACCTCTCAGCCTGACTCTTTGCTTTAGTACCTTGGCTGCTAAAGAAATCAGCACTTTTACTGAAGCTTCACTGAACTGAAAACTGTTGAAACTTTTAGTATGTGTCCTTCTGGGAGATACTTTGTAAACGTCAGCTAAGACTGCTTTTCTCCATTAGGAGGGAGTTTGGGTTTTTTTCCGTTTTGTTTTAGTGGAAGCAATCGCATATTTGTGCTGGGGACAAGTTGTCTGGTTGGTCCACCTTTCATAAGGTTACAAAGAGGCAGAGTGTTTAATGTTGTTCTTACTGAAACAATACATTTTATTCTGTATATTAGGTGGAAATCAGCCATCTAAAAGCTAGGCAGAATGCACTGCAGGAACAGCTGCAGAAAGTACAGACGGCTGCTCAGTCAGCACAGTTGGGAGTTGGTGTTTTACCACCAGCCACTACATCAGCTTCATATGTTCCAGCGGTGAGACGTTCCTCAGGTTTTGAAGGAGATGACATGGATTTTGGAGATATAATCTGGTCACAACAAGAAATAAACAGATTGTCCAATGAAGTTTCTAGGCTTGAATCTGAGGTTGACCACTGGAAGCAGATTGCACTGGTGAGTATTTCCTCTCTGTCTTACTCTCCACTGCAAATTAGAGTTTTCAATGAATGTGGTGGTTTTGGAATGGGCTTCTGAAAGTTCATGCTGTACAATTTCTAGAAGCAACATGATTTGATGGAGAAGCTGAAACTTAATTATCTTTTTGTCATTTTCATGCTGTCACATGGCTAACATTCAGTTAACGACATTCATTGACTAACTTCCAAATGCTTCATGATGCTTTTATGCATGATTTGTCAAGTTAGGAAAAAGGCTTCATAAACATTTGCCTGTACTACTTCAGGGTTTAATTTCTGTGCAGCCTTTCAGAAAATAATCTTCCTGGCTCTGATATTAATTATTTATTGACAGTACAATTCTGTGATAGTTGAATATTTGCATACTGGCTTTACTTATGCTTCTCCCAGTCCTTGTTATGTCAGTTGTAATTCATGATCTGCTGAGACAAGAAAGAATACAGTCTTTCAAGCTGTCGTTGATATGAGTCATTGTTTTTCAAGCTATAGCCTGATTTCAGAGGTATTGTTTTCCCATGTAGAAATATTCAAGTAAAATTAGGAAACCCTGTTGTATTATTACGTGCAATAACACCCACCACCACAAACTTCTACGTATTTCCATATAATAATAATAATAAAAAAATGTAAAATAAAAATCTTTCCATTAAAATGTATTTTTTTTTTAATCAATCTTACTGTAGATTTGAATTTTTCTTCACATTACCTTTGTTTTTCTACTCTGAGTATCAATAGAGGAAACGTGAAAAATACACCTATTCATCATGATTTTCACATGGATATGTGGTTTTTCTTTTCTCAGTCTTCCAAAGTGCAAGGGACAAACGATGCTGAACAAAGCGAAATATGCAAACTGCAAAATATTGTGAAGGTAATATGACAACTTTGACAAGCTAGTCTTCTCTTACACTTTATTCTTGATGGTTTTGCATATGGTCACATGACTTACGAATATAGTTAAAATGTTTGTAACACAAGCACTTATATTTTCTTTGTTAAAAATGCAAGTGGGCTTGTAATATCACAGCAATATTTCAGTCAGCAGTACAATATTTAAAAAGTTATTCTGAGAAAGGGTATTTATGTGAACTTGTTGAATATAGTACATAAGCTTAAAAGAATTATGTCAGTATTTATGAGGGCACATCACTTTCAGAAGCTGTTGATGACTGACTTATGAGACTCCATTTTAGATACACAAAATAATTTCTTCTTCATTCTCAGAAACATCTTTCTTTTTCTTATTGAAGATGCAGAATATGCATTTGCCTGTCATCCTTGAAAGTTGCTAGAAATGTGTCCTATTGTATCCGCTTCCTGTGAAAAAGTTGTAATCTCTCTACATTAGTTTAATATTTGCTGTTGTGTAGAGCATGCTGTTTGTGTAAACATATTTTTAAAAAGAGATGTCTTTTGTTGGAGTTTTTTTTAAGCATGTTAAAAGACAAGAAATGTGACTTCTGTGAGGAATCCTTTAAAAAATCCTTAATTTTACTAAGGAAAATGTTTTTATTTCTTTTAAATTTTTTCTTTCTTAAGATTCTGTACTATTTTTCTATTTATACTTCTAGGAGCTCAAACGGAATTTAAGTCAAGAAATAGATGAACATCAGCATGAACTTTCAGTGTTGCAGGATGCACACAGACAAAAGCTAGTAGAGATAACTCGTCGACACCGAGAAGAGCTGAGTGAATATGAAGAGCGAATTGAAGAACTTGAGAATCAGTTACAGCAAGGTCTTTATTACCGCATGCTTTCTTTTTTAATGTACAGTGAATTTTGGTTAAAGCATCAAATATATATGTAACAGTGTAATAGATACTAAATACATGATGTTTAGGAATTTGATTTTCAACTTGATTTCATCTTAATGTTTAGGATGTGTGTCCTAGTATCCTATATTCACTGTCGCTGGCTTGAACTGGAGCTTTTCGGTTTTTGATGTATATCAGTCTAGAGAGTCATTTTCTATACATCTCCAATGTTGTGCTCCAAATCCTACACTTTCTGGGTTTGTTTTTTTTTTAACTTACACTGAATGCAGGTGTGGACAAGATATACAAAGTTGAAAATAAGAAAATCTTAGCACAAGAGTAATTTTGATGAGAAGCACTATGTGCCAATTCAGTTACTTGACAAAAACTCAAGATTGGCAGAAGGACCACACCTCAGTCTGCGGCATGACTAGATTGTAGGAGAAGCTTAGTAGTTCTCACAAGGAGCTTTTTATTGTCTTGTAGGTATTTCATATTCCATAAAAATAGTTATGTCAGATTTCCTTTAGGGGCTTCCTTGCACAAATACGTAAGATTTGCCTGTAAACATCTATTTTATTATGTGTTAAAGCTTTGACTTCTGAAGAGTATATACTCTCCTTTTGGAAAGCGAGTTCCATTTCCTTCTTGGAAAGAAGGGAAATATTTTCGAAGCCACTTAATTCCTAAGGTAGTACTGATAGAGAATTTATTTCTTAAAATCAGATGCCTGTTAAGATGTTATCTGTCTTTTACTGTACGTATGTACACCAGCAGGACTAGCATAATGAAGTTATAGGCAGGAATCCTGTATCCTTTGCATTACAAGTCATCTGTAAAATAATATGGCTCACAGCTTTTGAAGATTTAAGAGTTTTGGGGTTTTTTTTTATTCTGTTGGTCTGTTTGACATCATTATACAGACTGGGGCAGGAGGAGGTGTTTGAGCTTACACTGAGGGGAATTCACAAGCAGCGTGCTTTCATTTAACTTTTTTTCTGTAATTTTTGATTACGCCTTTTTGTACACTAACTTTCCTAGAAATTACATTGTGATAATATGGTGGATCTGTAAAAACATCAGTTCTGCAAAGTGAGATATTTAAGTGAAAAACTCTGTGCATCATTTAGCAAATGACATACTAATCTGTAGCAAACAGTTCTCTGTAACAACCATTCAGCAAACCTTTGAAATTTAATTAAAATATAAACAGGGGGTTTGCATCAGGCTGAATTAGATGGGGTTTGATTAATTATTCTTGGAAAATTTAGAGGTTCCAAATCCCAGTATACTAGATTCTTTTATCTCCCCACCAGAGAGATGGGGGTCCAGTATATTTTAATTAAATGGTGAACAGTGTATATTTTGCAATACTTTAAGTTTTAAAAATTATTTCAAGCCAGGGATGTGTAAGTATTTGAAAAGCTGCTTATCAAACCAGTAGTATGTATAGCACTGCTACAAATCTTCATTCTCTTTAAGTAAGCTTTCTGTTGATGATGATTATCAAGTCTTTGGTTTAGATATCTCCCTCTTTCAGGAGAGTGGGTAGAAGAAGAGACTCTTAAGCAAAAGATCAACAGTGCTGCTGGTTTTGATTAATATTGCTAACAATTTCTTTTGTTTTTTAGATGATGTGAGCACTGATGCCATGGGTGGCTCTAAAATTAATGAACAGAAAAAAAATGCTCAGAGTCTAGAAGGAGGAAAAATAGAAGAGTTGCAGGTTGTAAAGGACCAAAAGGATGAAATAAGAAAATTAAATCACAGCTTGTCTTCTGCCAAAGAAGAAAATAAAATTCTTCTGAAAGAGCAAGAATTGGCAAAAGTAGAAAAGATCCAAATAATGCAAGAATATGAAAATCTTAAGTCTGACTTTAGCAAGCTTCAGAGTGCTGTTGCAGAGCAAGATGCTCTCCTGAAAGAACAGGAGAAGAAGCTCCAATCAAAAACAGCACTACCAGAGGATATTGTCAGACTACAGCAAGCACTGTTAGGTACTAAGATGATGATTATTTTTTAAAATTTAATTATTTTTAGTAAACCTTCACAGATTTCCACTTTTAAAGCTCAGATTTTACTTTAAGAATTTGGAACTTAGTATAAGAATATGTATCTTTTGAAAGTCGCTGGTTTGGAAAATGGTTTTCCATTGAGGTAAGGCTAAGCTGAAAAGGAGACGTAACTGGGATTAACATGATTGATTATCATAGGGCTTTCTGAATAGGTAAGTAACAACAAGAAGTTCCTTGTTTAAATTCTAAAAGTACACTTTTGGTAAAGGCAATCTGCTGCTACTATCTTCTCGCTAAAGTAACACTGAAACTTCTCTGTTTAAGAAGTATATCTGTATGTAGAAAATATTTTAATATTGCATAACTGATACACTGTAGTACCAAAGTCCTCCTAATGTGGACTCAGTTGTAAAAGTAATGCTCTACTTTGTGGTGGTGATTGATGGTGCATTTCAGTCTTCTACAGCACTGATGATTATCATCTCAAAATACTGTGAAACTATTCTCTTCTGAGCAACAGAGTTTTGTAAGGGCAAGGTGGGGGAATTGGTTTTATTATTTGGAAAGTGGTAACATTCTGTAATTTTTTTTTTCCCTTTATAGAAGCAGAAAATGAAATAGCAAGACTTTCAAGTTTAAATCAGGTAAAGCAATTTCTAAATTAAGCCAACAAAGTTTTTGTAAATAGTAACTGATGGAAAACACGTTCTGGCACTGTAGAATTTTTTTGGAGCAATTACACTTCTAAATGAATAACCTTGTAATCAAGGAAATAACTGTAGGTTAATTCTAGAATTACATGTGGAATTGATAGAAACGACACATTTTGACTTGTGAAACTCCATAGTTCCTCTGTTACAGAAAACTAGATTTCCACCTATCCATTGCTACTTACACTGCTGTAACATACATTTAAAAAGTATTAATAGGATATTCTGTAAAATTTCTCACTTTTCACCCCTTTGGCACATTCCAGTTTTGATACTGTTATCAGCTGTAAAATACCTCTCTCCTTACATGTAGTACTCTAATGATAGTACATTCCATTTTACTGATGAAGTTAAGCAATGGAACACAGTTTCTCTGGAACACACCTTCAGAGTTTGTCAAGATTGACTTAGTCTTTATAAACTCAGGCTTAAGAGATTTGTCTTAGTTTACTTTGTATCCAGTAGTATTTCTTAACTGGGGTTTTCTGTGTTTTGCATGTGTTGAAGAGCTCCAGTGGCATTTTTTATAAGGATGTTATTCAGGTGTCTTTTATTAAAATTTCCTGTCTCACTATGCAGCATGCTACATGTTTATAGAGTATCTCTTGGACATGTAATAATTTATCCTAGCTGTGGATCCGTGCCTCAGAGGTGGATATAACTTTGCTTGCCAGACAGTGCCTTTTTGTGCAGAAGCTTGTAAATTACAGTCCTAAAGTTAGTGATGAGAAAATAAATGTCTATGTGTGAATGGTAGAGACAAATACTTCCCAATGAAGAATTTTTAAGTGGCATAATATTAATGTAGGCTTAGAGATTCTAATAAAAAAGGCATATTTTGCTTTTAATTGTTGAAAGGGGGAAAATAAACCATTTCAGTTCTGAAGAGGTTATAAATTTCACCAAGATAAGGTCTAATATTTAGATTTTTTTTTTTTTCAACTAAAGGAAGGACTTGAGAAGGAACTGACAAGTTCACAACATAAAAATGAGAATATTCTTTCTGCATATGCTGACAATCGGAATTCAGAATTAAGTCAGTTAAGACAAGATTTGGAAAGGAAAGAACATGAATTAAATGAAAGTATTGCTGAAAGAGAAACATTAATAGTGGAGTTGGAAGAACTAGACAAGCAGAATCAAGAAGCTACTCAGGTAATAAACACTGCAACTATTTATTTAACTGCTAAAATATTTAGATTTGTGTGCATGTTGATCTTTTAAGTTGGTCTTTGAACATAGATAACAGGGAAATATAAGTTATCCTCTGAGGCTTAAAAAGAATATTGGGACCATCTTAGTGCAAAATTCTAAAGTGCAAGAAACCCACTTATTATGGATGAAGAAATAATATGGTATGTGAGCTATCCATAAGGCATGTCACTTCCTGAAGTCCAGTTAAATATTACTTGATTTTTTTACTCACAAGATTTTTGACAGACTTTAATCCTGCTAATATTTAGACCTCTGTCTTATGAGAGTATGCATAGCATGAATTACTTTTTAAAACTTTTTCCTTTTATTATTTTAATTATGGTGAGTAATTAAGTTGCTTTATTACAGGTTCTTCATAATATGAGCATGTGTGGGGCAAAAAAGGTCACTGACTATGATCAAAATAGAGCAATAACAGTTTTGTCACTGTTCTGATATATTTGACCTGTAAACATACAGTTGCAAGCCATGCATTTTCAATACTGGTTTACTTTATGGAATTAAACATTAAATTGTTTTCCTGTGAAATGAGTCCCAGAAAATGTGTTTAAAATGAAGCTCAAACAAGATATTGAAAATAGAATATACAGATAGGCATTCTCTTCTGTAGTTTGTTATTTTAAATTTAGTGCCCCCCTGTTTTTAAGAAACGGGTATATGCTGTGTACCCATTCCAGCTGCCCTGGCAAATTCTAATGGTTCTTTTTCTTAAGTATCTCTCTTTTTGTTCCTTGATTTAAGTACTTAGTGTTCTTGTTTCTAGTGAATTGTAATCTTTTCCTATTTGATAATTTGATACGTGTTTTTAATTAAGTTAGCATTGACTAGTTGATGCTACTTCCACCTGACCTTGGCAACTAGGAAACAGTTTTGCTTCCTCTCAGGTGTGGGCTTTGGCTGGGTTTTTTTGGGTTTTGTTTTGTGGTTTGTTGTTGGTTTTTTTCTTTAGTGTTCAGAGGCTAAAAATGCACAGTTCAGCTGGTTCTCCTTTCCTAATGAGTTCTTGTTTATGTACATTTCAGCATGTGATTACACTGAAAGAGCAGCTGTCAAAGCAACACACAGAAACTGATAGTATCATCAACCAGCTGAAATTTGACTTAGATTTTGAAAGAAAGAAATTATCAGAATTAGAAATGGAGAAGATGGAAACTATTAAGGAGTTAGATAGTCAGAAAGAAAAACTAAGCCAATGTTCATATGCACTTAATGATTTGCATATAAGTAAGCAGCAGCTTCAAGATAATATTAAAGATCTTCAGGAACAATTAAAGAAAGCCCAGGATTGTAATTTTCATCACAAAAAAGAGATCGGAGAATTGCAGCAGAGACTAAAAGAACGAGAAGAGGAACTTTCTGTATCCTTGAGCAAGTTAACAGAAAAAAGTAATCAGGAATCTAACTACACTTGTCAAGACCTGATTCTGAAGAAAAGAGAAGTAGAAATTGCAAAACTACAGAATGACGTTTCAGAAAATAAACAGCTAAATGAAGACTTAAAGAAATCTCTGTCAGATCTTAGAACAGAAAATGGAAAGCTGATGGCAGCCACTGAAGAACTAAAACAGGAGTTAAATAATGCCATTTCTGAGAAAAATAAAGTTTACTCGGAAAAAGACACTGTTGTGGAGGCCTTGAAAATGGAAAAAAGACAGATAGAGAGTGAATTAAACCAGGCAGAGAAGAGGCTTTTGGAACAAGCACATAAGTATAAGCAGACTATTGAGGAATTATCAAAAGCACGTAGTATGGATACCAATGCATTGCAGCTTGAACATGAGCGCTTAGTTAAATGCAATCAAGAGAAAGACTTTAAGATTGCTGAGCTTAAAAGGAGCATTGAGCAGATGGAAACTGACCATCAAGAAACAAAAGAGATGTTGACTACTAGCTTAGGAGGACAAAAGCAGTTGACAGAACTCATTAAAGAAAAAGAGGTATTTATTGAAAAATTTAAAAATCAAGCCTTGCAAGTGAAGCAGGAACTTGAGGAATATATGAAAGATTCGAAAAAGCAGGATGTCTTAAAACAGAACTTGGAGGAAAAAGACAGAAGTCTTGCAGTCATGAAGGAAGAAAATAATCATTTGAAAGAAGAAATTGAACGCCTTAAGGATCAGCAAAGCAGATCCATGCCTGTGGTTGAGCCTAAAACTCTAGATATTATTATTGAACTTGAAAGTGAGGTAACACAGTTAAAAGTAATAAAGAATAATCTTGAAGAAGAAATAGAAGTTCTCAAGAAAACAATAGAAGATCAGAACCAAACAACAGTACAACTTCAGCAGTCTTTGCAGGAGCAAAGAAAGGAAATAGATGAGTCTAAATTTCAGTGTGAGCAAATGAATGTCACACATGAAAGACTTTCCTTAGAGAAAGATGAGGAAATAAAAAATTTACAGAAAACAATTGAACAAATTAGAACTCAGTTGCACAAAGAGAGACAGATTATTCAGACTGATTCCTCTGATCTCTTTCAGGAAACCAAAGTTCAGACTCTTAATGGAGAAAATGGAAATGAAAAGCATGACTTATCTAAAGCTGAAATTGAAAGACTGGTAAAAGGTATCAAAGAAAGGGAGATGGAGATTAAGCTTTTAAATGAAAAGAATGTGTCTCTAAGTCAGCGAATTGATCAGTTGTCTAAGGATGAAGTTGGCAAACTTACTCGGATCATTCAAGAGAAAGATTTGGAAATAAAAGCTCTCAATGCTAGAGTTTCCTCAGCTTCCTCTAGGCAGGATGTTCTTTGTCTTCAGCAGCAGCTGCAAGCTTATGTTCTGGAAAGAGAACAAGTACTAGCGGTTTTAAGTGAAAAGACAAGAGAAAACAGTCAGTTAAAAACAGAGTATCGTAATATCATGGATATGGTTGCTGCTAAAGAAGCAGCTTTGGTAAGGTTGCAAGAGGAGAATAAAAAGTTATCTGATAGATCTGAAAACAGCAGTCAAGACATGTCTAGAGAAACTATTCAGAATTTATCCCGTATCATTCGAGAAAAAGATATTGAAATAGATGCTCTAAGTCAAAAATGCCAAACCTTATTGACTGTCTTGCAGACATCCGGTACAGGTACTGATAATGGATCAGGAGGTGTTAACAGTAACCAGTTTGAGGAACTTCTACAAGAACGCGATAAATTAAAACAGCAAGTAAAGAAGATGGAGGAGTGGAAGCAACAAGTAATAACCACAGTTCAGAACATGCAGCATGAGTCAGCTCACCTCCAAGAAGAGTTACACAAGCTTCAAGCACAAATTTCAGTTGAAAGTGATAGTAATTCAAAGTTGCAGGTAGATTATAATGGCTTGATTCAGAGTTATGAACAGAATGAGAAAAAGCTGAAAAGTTTTAGTCAGGAATTAGCACAAGTTCAACACAGCATAGGACAGCTTTATAACACCAAGGATCTTCTCCTGAGTAAACTTGATTTGGTGACACCATCTGTGGCGATGGCTTCCACTGTTTCACAGTTTTCAGACGTACAGCACAGTACTCTGGAACTACTGGGTGACGAGGCTAAACTTCAAAATGAGTTGGAACAACTGAAAAAAAAGTTGCAAGAGAAAGATTCAACTATTAGAACTCTTCAGGAAAACAATCAACGACTATCTGATTCTGTGGCTACAGCATCAGAGATTGAAAGAAAGAATCAAGAAGGAACTGAGTCAGAGATAAGGCAGATCAAAGAAAAACATGATGTCTTACAGAAATCACTTAGGGAAAAAGACATATTAATTAAATCTAAAAGTGATCAGTTACTTTCTGTGAGTGAAAATCTTAGTAACAAAGAAAATGAAAATGAGCTTTTGAAGCAAGCTGTGACTAATCTTAAAGAAAGAAATTTGATTTTAGAAATGGATATTAGAAAACTGAAAGAAGAAAATGAAAAAATAGTTGCAAGGTCTAGAGAAAAAGAAACAGAATTCCGAGCACTTCAGGAGACTAATATGCAGTTTTCAATGATGCTGAAGGAGAAAGAGTTTGAGTCTCACTCAATGAAGGAAAAAGCTCTTGCTTTTGAGAAGTTGTTGAAAGAAAAAGAACAGGTATGTGCATTCATATTTATGAATGACTTTCAAAATTAGGCACATGGTAATGCATTTTTGTGTATATGTAGCCATCAAGTATTTGCCTGAAATCTGTTTGTGACTCCTTACTGCATTACACTACAACAAAAATCCTCCCTTTGCAAAGTTAAGAAATTGAAAGTCAGCAGGTGAGTGGTTTACAATGTTATCTGTTAATTGTGCAGCCATAAACGACTTTTATTTCATTTATTTGGTAATTGGTCATTTACTGAACGGCTGCTTAATATTATGCTTTGGCCCTGTTATTCATTAAGTGCCCTATCTTATTTTTACTGTATGGTGCTCAAACTTATGCAGAGTTGGCCAGCAGGATTAATTTTCCATTGTGCTTTCCTCTAGTGTTTGTTATTCCAATGTGGTTGCTTCACAACATCCCTTTGAGGTGAATGGACTTCTGTATCTTGCTTTTATGGCTATAGAATGTCCAGTGCAAAAAAAAAAAAAAAAAAGATAAAAGACTGGATAAGCTGAATTACTGGTTTCTTCTCTACAATTTGACAAATGGCGAAATTGACACTTTTTTCAAAGTGTATGTTCAGAGGAAAGTTGCAGTGGCTTGTAAATTCTCTTGTGTAATTTGAAGAAGAATCTTTTTTAGAAGAGGAAAGAATTATGTAGCATCATTGATACACAGGTCAACAGCGTGTTGTATGATTTGCTGCTGGTGGAGCTAATAAGTAGTTTGTCAATTGCCATTTCTCTTTGAGAAATAGGTATTAAGTACAGTGCCAGAGTCTTTCTGGAGTTTAACAGACACTTGACAGCAGAACTGCAGGATGTAGGTGCTCTGAGAGTGGGTATGTCTTAGAGGGAGATTTTGTTGGTAAGTAATTCCAAACAGATGATACTCTTTTGTTGTTTCCTCTGTACTGCTCAGGTCCCCATTCTTTTCATCTTGATGGCACTGGTTGCTGTTCTTCAGTCTTCTCTTACAGTTGTCCCCCTGTGCATTCTGTTCTTAGTATCCCTGTGGCTTTTAGTGTAACTTCCCATTTTCTGAAGTTATGAGCATTGCCCATTATCAGAGAATTGTATTTATGCAACCATTGCTAAGTAACTTGGCATTAGTTTTACCCCCAGTATAATTAAAAATATAATTACTATAATTTAAAGTATAATTAATACTATTATTGTTATGCTTTTAAAATATAATTAAAATTAATAAAATGGTTTTGGTTGAAAGGGACCTTGATGATCATCCAGTTCCAACCCCTCTGCCATGGGCAGGGACACCTTCCACTAGACCAGGTTGCTCAAAGCCCTGTCCAACTTGTCCTTGTACACTGCCAGGGATGGAGCAGTCATATTTCTCTGGGCAAACCTGTTCCAGTGCCTCACCACCCTCACATCTCTTTGAAACTTTTTCAAATTGCCAACTAAATCTGCAGTGTAATGGATTTGGAAAGTGTAATTTGGATTTAACAATATATGTCTTTCTAAATTTAAGTCTTAACTTAGACCGAATATAAGTTGAAAACTAGGATATTTTTTTTTTTATTTTTTTTTTTTTTTTGAGAAATTTGACTTTGGACAGCTGCTTAGAGGTGTTCGCTGATAGTAGATGTTTTCCTATCCTGTTTTAAAGAAATACTATAAAAGTACGATGAGAAGTTTTATTGTCTCGAAGTACAGTTACGTTGTGACAAATGGCTTTGAATTACCACTGGGAATTTTAACATTCATCAGTCTTTGCCATATAAAACATATTAATACTTTACAAATTAACACTTCTACTATTTTGTTGGGGATTTTTGGTTTTTTTTTGTTTGTTCGTATTGGGGGTTTTGTGTGGTGTTTGTTTTTTAATTCTAACTCCTAGAAATCTGTATTGTCTTGGCTAGGTTCTCTGTGTTGCATGTCTTTGGCCTGCAGAGTTTCACTCACTGGTGATTTAGGCTTTTGGTTTCACAAACATGGCATATTTGGATGTTTTTCTTGCACAGATCAGAGAAGTTCCTGTTACATGCTTTGTGTTCACTCTGGAGAACTAGAAAAAATAGTATTAAAGCAGTTTTGTGGTTTATGTGTTTGTGTCAGAAGATAACGTGCCATTAAAAGAGAACGTCTGCTTGCAGGTTTATGGTTCTAGGGCAAAAACAATTTTTCTATACTCGGTTTGATTAATAAAACAAATAATTGAAGCTAGTAAGTATTAATGACAAAAACGAAGATTACTATATTTTTATCTAGCATATTCAGTATGCTTTCAGAACAACACATGAGACAAAAGGTAAAGAGCATGGTGACAAGTTTCCAATAACTGAAAATGCATTCATGTGTACATGGCAATTCTGTGTAACTGACATAATTGCACTTCTTTATATGTCTATGTGAAGTTGTAAACTGCCTGTAAGTGAGAACATTATTTGTTGAAATTTGACATCTGAAAACATGATGGACATTGTTGTGATTCATTCATTGAAGGCTAATATTCGGGAGTGAGGTCACCCTATGGTTTATTTTTTTAAGATTTCTTCCTGTGTTAAGTTGTCTTAAGTGCAGACAAGTTGACCTGCCTAGGCTGATGCTTTACATGTGCATGGCCTAATAAATGGGTATCACAGCTAACAGATTTCAAACACCAGGGGGAAAAGTGAAGTTTTCAAGTATACAAGTGGCTGAAACACTATGTACATAATACATATCTCTCATCTAAAGATAGATAGGTGTCTGTTTGTTTGCAGCAGTCAATTAAGAAAAAGCTTCTGTATAGGTCTTCTGTATAGGTGAGTGAACTAACTTCAAAATAATATTTTCCCCCAATGTTTTTTTGTGTTATAGAGCCATGGGTGTATTGCCCTTTTCCTTGTTAGATCAGTATTGTCTTTAAGCTTTCTGGGCAAAGACTGTATCTCCTTTGGTAAAACTATTTGCCATGCTTGAAATGCATGTTTGTGTCTTCAACAGGGCAAGACAGGAGAATTGAATCAACTGTTAAATGAAGTTAAATCAATGCAGGAAAAGGCTGTTACTTTCAAGTCATGGTAGCACTCAAACAGAAGCAAATGGAGAGCAGTGCCCTGCAGAATGAGGTAAACCACCAAATAATTTACAGTTGCAAGAAATAAAAGAAAAAATATTTTCCATATTTTTTTTGTAACAATCACTTGTAAAAATAATTTAAAATCTATACACACGCAGTGTGCTTCCGTGGACATGTTTTAAGTTTGCTTAAATTACCTTTATGAAAGGTGATAGTACGAGCAACTTAAGGTATGTTCTACACAGATACAGCATTTGCGTGAGAAAGAGCAGCGCCTAAATCAGGAACTGGAGAGGTTACGCAACCACCTTTTAGAGATGGAAGACTCCTACACACGAGAAGCTTTAGCAGCAGAAGACAGAGAGGTCAAGCTAAGAAAGAAAGTCTTGATTTTGGAAGAAAAACTCGCGTCCTCATCTACTGCAGTGGAGAATGCCAGGTACTCTTTTAATTTATACAGCAGTAGCATTAGCTGTAGATACCACAGTTAGCTAGACTGGTACTTAATGGCTGTATTTTACAGAATTGCCGTTCTGTAACATGCTGAGTACTTGAGAAAACAAAAAGATAAGAACCTTTGTTACTCTGAATCTGGAAGGCGATTTGAAATGTACTTGGCTGCTATTGAGAATTTAAGAAAGTACTTGTCCTTTTAGTAGCAGCTATTGAAATCTCACATCTATAACTGTGCTTAGAACTAGAACCAGCAAAAATCCTTCAACCCATCAATCTAGTTATCTGTCAAATCAAAAAAGATGGACTTAACTTTCTTTTTCAAGTAAGGCTTCATTCAGTTTGAACTAGTTTTATTTTATGCGCTTCAGTGCACAGATGTGACTGTCATGGTTTGTGAATTGCTTTTGAGACAAGTACACATACTTTATACCTGATACCATGGAAAGTATACACTGCAGTAAGCAGTTTTTTCTTTTTAGCCTATGTAAAGTAAGATGCATTGAAGATCTCACAGGTAGAACCTGGGAGGCTAGTGCCAATTGTGATTATGGGCAAGTAAGTAAAACCCCACCATTTTCAGCCAGAACAATGAAAACCCTAGTATTAAAATTACTTACCTTGACTGCTTTAATGCTGTTTTATTTAGAGGAATGTTGGTTACTTTGGGCACAGGAATGCTTTTTTGATCTTATTACAATTGTCAAAATGAACAGGTATTTTAATCAAAAAGTATGTATGTAGCTACAGTCTTTAAGTGCTAAAGATTGATTCCACTCTTAACGTTCTCAGTAAAGAGATTCTGAGTTGAACGGAATTTGTTGTGAAAAATTGTGGAGAAATGGAAGAGTTGGGAGAAGGTTGTGTAAAATCTGTTCATCAGATTGTTTCTTAATTCTTCATCACACTTGCAAATACTTTTCAAGAAAAATTGCCTACTTGCCACCTGATAGGCACTCTTTCAAAAGACTGGCATAGGAGTAAGTCAGGTTCATAATGCTTTTGCATAATGGAAAGTGAAATGGGGCATTCAGTGGTCAGTATGGAGTAAGATATACTGAGTTCTTGTAGACTGCTTTAAAAGTAAAAATTGGTGGAAAGACCTATTGGTTCATGTAGCAATTGAAGCAGATAATTGGTGAGATATGGATTTTTTTTTTAAGATAATGTTACAATAATGAATGGCAAAGAGTAGGTTTTTCTTTTCCTAATGCGCTTCAAGCGAAAGTAGGGGGGTTTTATTGTCGAAATTTTATTACCAGACTTACATAAAATCTGTCATTAGTTGGTGGGGTTTTTTGTTTGGTTGGTTTGGTTTTGAGGTGGGTTTTTTTGTTTGGTTTGGTTTGTTTTTTTGTTTGAAGAGGGACTGGGGAACAAAAATTGCCTTCATTTTTATAAATTGAGCTGAAAAATTAAAGGTAGAGTATTTTTGCTGGGATTTAATTTTCTCTATGATTACTTCTGTTATCTTGATAAATAATGTATTTTATTTTCATGAAGTCATCAAGCTAGTCTGCAAGTTGAATCTTTGCAAGAACAATTAAATCTGGTTTCCAAGCAGAGAGATGAAACTACGCTACAGCTCACCATCTCACAGGACCAAGTGAAGCAGTATGCATTGTCCTTAGCCAACCTGCAGATGGTACTAGAGCAATTCCAACAGGGTAAGTTTTGTCAAGAAGTAGCAAAGATTGCAGCTAATATTTTGTAACTGGCATAGTTACCATATTGTGGTGCTTTTTAAATATCAGTTACCTGGTTTCCTTTTTGATAGCTTGAATTTCAGAATCTGATGTCTGTTAAAAAAACCTTAAACAATTCTGGTCCTGTGAAAACTGATGGTCAGTATCCCATTTATAAAATTTTAATTCCACCTCTACCTCATGAAGACCAGACATGATAATTCTGAGGTTTTGCAATCGTGTATCTCAGTTACATGCTGTGAATCAAGATTTTTTGTTTGTTTGTTTTGTTTTGCTTTGTATTTTTAACCCTTTAGAAGAAAAAGCTATGTATTCAGCAGAGCTGGAGAAACACAAAAAACAGACCGAAGAATGGAGGAAAAAAGCAGAAAACTTAGAAGAAAAAGTTGTATCACTGCAGGTGGGCTGACTAATGAAATTGAACTGTATGAAACTGAATGCTAATTCTTGAATGATTTTTTTGTTTTAACTGCTATGTTGAGTGTAATTGTCTAAGAATGCATTGAGTTACGTAATTATTCTTTCTTCCTTGGAAGAGAGGGGGGCACTAAAACATCAGCAAAGCAGTGTTCCACTGCTGACCATCCATTTTCTGAGGATGTTTACAATCCAATTATTCTAAAGAAAATGTGATTGAAGTCTCTGCATCTGTTATGTTTGATCTATGTTGTATTAGCATAATTGTGGTAATGAACTGCCTTGCTTCTCTTTTTGTCCCTTTCCTGCCCTCTATTCAGGAAAGTTTAGGAGAGGCAAATGCTGCACTGGATGCAGCATCAAGGCTTACTGAGCAGCTTGACATCAAAGAGGAGGAGATTGAGGAACTTAAGAAAGAAGGTAACTATTTTATTTTTTTTCTTTTAATCTGTGCTTAAAACATTCCAAGCAGCTGAGGAGACAATATAGTATTCCTAGAAACTTACTGAAATTCATCTCCTATGAGGAAAAGAATAATTCTGTGACATCTTTTGAGGTTTTCCCTGTTTATAAAACGAAGTTGAAAAAATATGCTTACCTTCTGTTAGGGATCTTTCTCAAACAATAGCTCTCTATAGTTGGGGTTTTTTTGTTCCTCTCCTCTCTCCTCTCCCTCAGTACCAAAACCCTTAATATAGCACTTAAAAAATGTCTTTTTAGTATGTGTGTATAACACCAAATGTTATCAGATTTTCTGAAGTAACTACCTACCTTATTTGATGCAGACACAGGAATACAGTCAGGTGGAGAGGAAGGGTGTACTGTTGGCAAGAGATGTAGAGGGAGCAGCTCTTGCACAGATGTGAGACTGTCTGGAGAGTTTATGTGGAAGATCTTGGACATATCTTTAGATTGTATTTTTAGCTCTCATTTAAAATAAGCTTCCTGATTTCTGATATTTAGAAAGATACCTTCCACATTGCTCTCAGATTAAGTACTTTAAATATTTGATGAATGTCATTACTTTGGATTTGAAGACAAAACTTGGCCAGACTGT